CTTAGATTGTGTCATATCAATCTAAATAGGATTCAAAGATTGGTAAAGGATGGTCCTTTAAATGAGTTAGAGGTGGAATCTATACCAACTTGTGAATCTTGTATAGAAGGAAAGATGACCAAGAGGCCCTTTAAGGCTAAGGGACTAAGGGCTAAAGAGGTTTTGGAATTAGTACATTCCAATATTTGTGGACCTATTAGTAATCGGGTTAGAGGAGGATACGAGTATTTCATCACCTTCACAGAGGATTACTCTAGATTTGGATACATATACCTTATGTCTCACAAATCCGAAGCTTTGGAGAAATTCAAGGAGTTTCGGACGGAAGTTGAAAAACAATTAGGTAAGAGTATCAAGGCCCTTCAATCTGATTGAGGTGGCGAGTATCTATCCCAAGAGTTTAAGGTCTATTTATCGGATAATGGGATATTATCCCAATTGAGTGCACCAAGAACTCCCCAACAGAATGGTGTCTTGGAAAAAAGAAATCGAACTCTTTTAGATATTGTAAGATCAATGATTAGTTATTCCTCATTGCCTATATCCTTTTGGGGATATGCACTACAAACAGCCATTTTTATCTTGAATTTGGTACCATCTAAGTCAGTTCCCAAGACACCTCTTGAATTGTGGAATGGGCGCAAGCCCAATTTACACCACATTCGGATATGGGGATGTCCAGCACATGTACTAAAGGGAAAGACAGATAAGATGAAATTAAAATCAGATGTTTGTTTCTTTGTAGGATATCCAAAGGGAACGAGAGGTTACTACTTCTATAATCCTCTTGATAAGAAGGTATTTGTTAGCACAAATGCAACCTTCTTAGAGGATAGGTATATAGAAGAACGCAAGTCTATTACTAAGATTCTATTGGAAGAGATATTAGAACATGGTTCAAACAACTCAGTTCCAGATTTCCGCATAGAATCTAATAATGATGACTTGAAACCTCCTACTGAACGAATGGCTGCTGATGAAGCAAGTGAGCAAGTGATGCCCACAGGGCCTCATAGGAAAATAGAACCGGAGGTAGTAGAAAATGAGGCACCCATTGTTGTATGTCCACATGTCCCTTCAAATAGGGATAATGAGGATATTTTTCCTAACCAAGGACAAGATCAAACAGTGGGAAGAGAGGAGGGACCTTTGGTCAGACTGGACAATCAGGCACCTTCAATCATTACTCGTAGTGGGAGGGCTGTGAGACCACCTTCTAGGTACTTGCTCTATGGAGAATCCTATCAGGCGATCTCTACTGAGCAAGAAGAAAATCTCACTTCATTTAAGGAAGATGTAGACTTTGAATCATGGAAATTAGTCATGAACTCAGAAATAGAATCTATGTATTTCAACAAGGTCTAGGATCTTGTAAATGCACTTAATGGGGTAAAGCCTATAGGATGCAAGTGGGTCTATAAAAGGAAAAAAGATATAGATGGGAAGGTTGAAACCTTCAAAGTAAGGCTAGTGGCCAAGGGTTTTACCCAAAGAGAAGGCATCGATTATGAAGAAACCTTCTCACCGGTTGCCATGCTTAAATCTATTCGAGTCATTTTATCCATTACCGCTCATTATGATTATGAGGTTTGGTAAATGGATGTCAAGACAGCATTTTTAAATGGACGTCTTGAGGAGACCATTTACATGATGCAACCTGAAGGGTTTGTGAAAGAAGGCCATGAAAGGAAAGTTTGCAAGTTGCAAAGGTCCATTTATGGACTCAAGCAAGCGTCCAAATCTTGGAATGTAAGATTTGATCAAGCCATCAAGACCTATGGTTTTGAACAAAATCTGGATGAATCTTGTGTGTACAAACGAATACAAGGAAAGAAAGTAGTTTTTCTGATTCTTTATGTAGATGACATTCTACTCATTGGCAATGATGTAGGGACATTGTCATCTGTAAAGAAATGGTTGTCACAGCAGTTTGATATGAAGGACTTGGGAGAAGCTAGTTATGTTTTGAGAATCTGTATCTTGTGAAATATGAAAAACAGAAGGATTGCATTATCCCAAACTTCATATATTGACAAAATATTGTCCAGATTTGTAATGCAGAATTTCAAAAAGGGACAACTTCCTTTTAGACATGAAATTCATCTATCTAAAGAGCACTGTTCCAAGAATGCAACAGAGATAGATTACATGAGAAAGGTTCCTTATGCTTCGGCTGTGGGAAGTCTCATGTATGCTATGCTTTGCACTAGACCGGATATTTGTTATGCTGTGGGTATTGTTAGTCGTTATCAGTTTAATCCAGGACCAAAACATTGGGTAGCGGTAAAGCATGTACTCAAGTATCTTCGGAGAACGAGAGATTATATGCTTGTCTACTCAAGACATGATCTAAATCCTATTGGATATACTGATTCCGATTTTCAATCCGATCGTAACTCTAAGAAGTCTACATCAGGATCAGTATTTACTCTGGGAGGTGGAGCTGTGGTATGGAGGAGTATCAAGCAATCTTGTATTGCTGATTCCACCATGGAGGCAGAATATGTAGCGACTTGTGAAGCTGCTAAAGAAGCTGTATGATTCAAGAAGTTTCTTTTAGACCTTGACGTGGTACGTTTGGCAATGGGGCCCATAACGCTTTATTGCGATAATAGTGGGGCGATTGCCAATGCTAAAGAATCGAGGAGTCAGCACATCGAGATAAAATATCACCTTGTTAGAGAAATTGTTCATTGAGACGTGACGGTTAGTAAGATTGCATCAGCAGATAATCTTGCTGATCCGTTCGCTAAGACCTTACCAACTAAGGTTTTTGATGGACATTTTTAGGGGATGGGTATTCTTGATATGTCACACATACTCTAAGAAGGGCAAGTGGGAGATTGTTAGTTTGATGCCCATTTTTCGAGTAGTGTTCTGTAAAATCACATTATGAATTTACGTTCGTTTATTTGCGTGTTATAATTTGAAGTGATTGTCTAAGATTCCATGATCATATAGGATGTCACAAATTGTATACTCGATGGATCGGATATAGTAAGACACAATTTGTGATGTGATCAAAATTATGTCGTTCACAATTGGTTAATAAAGTTGTACGCTTTATGTTGATAAGATTGTATTATTCTTATTAAAATTTGTCTAGATCTTGAAATAGGAATAATAATGTGTTTCGATGCACATTGAACGGGACTGATTAGATGACTCGTTTGTGACCGTTTGAAATGAAACTCTACTTGATTATCAAATAGGTCACCTAAATCCTAAGTGAGTAATGTACCTTTAATTGTTAGTTCAAGTTCTTTGAGGTACCAATGGGTGAAGTCTTAAATAGAAGATTGATCTCGGTGCTTTGAGAATCGGGCCGAAACAATTAGAGATCATATACTTACAATATTGGAATCTATTAATCATTGAGATGAAACGATTGTCACTTTAAGGTATTTTCCTAGGCAAATTAAATCTGAGCTCAGTAGGTCGACAATGAGATTATTGGACTTTACATTGTGATTTGATCACAACGAATTTGCCATATGAAAATGAGACTTAAAGGGTAATACATGTTGAAGGGCAAAACGGTCATTTTGCCAGTTTCAACATATTGACGGTCAAATGGGGGTTGACTTGTGGAACGATAATCAAAGGATATTGTTATTGGATCATAATTTGCTTCTATAACTATCACTCGACTCGAGAGTGCAATATCGATTTTTTTGTAAAATAAGCCGGGATTAATAGATGTATCTCAATTGGTCAAAAGTTGACCCAATTTAAAACATCTATTGGAGCTTAGGTCATGTGAGTTCGGTTAGGTCCCTCTCTTGGCTCCAATAAAAAGTGTGTGACTTAATTGACCTACTACAATAAAATTCAAGAAAATTTGTGCAATTTTCAAACCCTAATAGGGCATTATAAATATGCACTTTATTGACATATTTTGAATGAGAATTAGAGTTAGCCACTTTTCACTTTCTTTAAAAAGGAATAACACCCAGTGGAAAACAAGGGGGAAGATTTAAGGGAGGAAGCAATTGGCTAGACCATTAATAGCTCCTTCAAAAAGGTTATCATCTCCCCTTTCTATGTGTGAGAATTTTATAATCCAATGATCTCAAGGTGACTAAAATCCTTATTTACATGATTTTAATTTTCAAAGGAAAATTAATTTTTTATTGTGATGATTAAAATTCATTAACCAACACCAACTACGTTACCATTGAAATCGTCAAAATTATATGAAATGTCCTATTTTTCTTATTGACTAAGTAGAAGATAGAGGGCAAGGCCGTACTTATCGGCAATGTGTAGGGTATATCTGCATGTGTACATCAATAACTTAAAAGAAAGAACAGTTCTTTAGCGTGACAAACTTCCAGCAACAAATTCTCTCTTCCTTTTACTAAGATACTTAAAAAAAAAAAAAAAAAAATGCTCGATAATTTATCCGCTATATAGGCTTTGTCAAATAATCAACTTAAAAAAATGTAAAAAGAATAAGCTATTTATTGCGTAATGGTTTTGCTCAGGGAGTAAGCATTGAATTATATGAATAAGCAGCTTGGGTTCCTGGTTCTCCAACTTAAGCTAAGTTCAGAGTGCTAATTGCTGCCTTGTACAAGTAATATAGGGTGTGTTGGCTTCTAACTCAAGGGTTTAAGGATAGAGAGATGGGAGGAAAATGACATAATTTATTGAGAAGTTAATTTAAATATTTATTTCCCTTAGTCCCTCGTGTGATTCTTTGTAAAATTAAGAGAATTTTATAGCGACGTTTTTCCTTTCTTTCCCCCTTTTGATGCATGTTTGGACGTTTCATAACATGAACTGAATTTATGTAGCGGCATTTAATGATAATAATGAAGATTCTTCTTTCTGGAGGTGTTTTCTCCAAATACATAATATGTATTTTGCAGTTCTTTCCAAACCTCTGAAGACATCCAGGAGAAGCTGTTCACCCTTTTCAGTTTTCCTAGATATGTTTCTGTAGACCGTTGAGATTTCTACAAGTATATCATTCTTATGAATATTTCACTCCACAGGTTGAGATTGCTAAAGGTTATGAAAAAGGTGGGGCAGCATGCCTAAGTGTATTGACTGATCAGAAGTATTTCCAGGTAAGAATAAACTTTTTAGTACTCGAACTTTTGCTTCTATCAAATATTGCTATATCGATTAGATATGTTTTTTTCAAGGTTTGTTGATTTTTGTTTCACTGCAAAGTACCGTTTTCACTTACTACCTTTTCTGTACCAAATAAGGGAAGCTTTGAAAATTTAGAGGCCATAAGGAATTCTGGAGTAAAGGTATGCCCACTTCCAATATTTTTTGTCTTATAGCTCAAAATATAAGCTTGATATTTCTACTTCATATTTCTTTACTGACTTTGTACAACGTGTGCAGTGCCCTCTACTATGTAAAGAATTCATAATAGAAGCTTGGCAAATCTACTATGCTCGAACTAAAGGCGCAGATGCAGTTCTATTAATTGCAGGTGTTTTACCTGATCTTGACATCAAATATATGACCAAGATCTGCAAATTGCTTGGGTTGGCAGCACTGGTTGAGGTTTGGCTATTCCTCTTTGTCATTAGCATCTCTAGCATGACACACCCACTTCATTAGAGATTGAAAACACTTGATGATCTTAAAGACCCTTAAGTTGTCTCTAATAGAGCACTCCTCGTACTTCCATTTTGTTACTGAATTCATTGTATGATCATCAATGTCCTTGACAAAAATCTTCGTCATATGACCATCTTTCAAAATTATGTTTAAGCTCAAACCAGTTAGATTTGTGAGCATGTCTGTCTCAACTTCAATGGGAAAAAAGTAAAAGCAAAGTAAAAAAGGTTACTTTTTTTGAAAATAACTCTTACCTCATGTCAAAAAGATTGACCTGCTAATTTTCAACTTCACCAATGAAAAATATTATTTATTAAAGTTACTCATTTCTTATAAGTTAACTTTTGAAGCTTAATGAATCATTCTTGTGGTTGCTAAAGAAGTGATGTGTGTCTTAAGTTCGACTATTTCCTATGCTCTTCCAACATTTGAGAAAAACCTCTCCAGCGCAAGAGTTATTTAGTGCTCATTTTCTGCATCTTAGATGCTTGCTACGCATACTTTCCTGTATATTCATTGTTAAATCTTATGAGGTGAGTGAAATGATATGCTATTATCTCCATAATTGCGACTCTTGACCTCTCTTCTGGTACTTCATATTATAGGTACATGATGAGAAAGAGATGGATCGTGTCCTCCAAATAGATGGGATTGAACTTGTTGGCATCAATAATCGAGACCTTGGTACTTTCTGGCTTCAAATAATTGTATAGAGCTATGAGCAAATACTATACCTATATGAAGCATTTTTGGTTAAACACGCCGTTAGTTACTCAACTTACAGTCAAGTTTCATGTTAGTCACTGAACTTTATTTTGTTTTAAAGTGGTCGTGAAAGTTTACCTTTTCATTTCAGTTTGATTACATAATAAACATCCGTTAGTTTTTTCAACAGAATATATGTCATGGCAGAGGACAATGTAATGTGGCATCAACATGGATGTCTTCCATGCCATACATATGGTTAGAAAAATCAACAGATTTTAAAAAGTGACCAAACTGAAACAAAAAACAAACTTCAGCTGCCACTTTGGTACAAAACTAAGTTCGGTGATTGACATGAAACTTCGCTGTATATTGATCAAGTATTTTACTAACATTGCCTTCATTTTATAGTTTTAGTGCATTTGTGTTATTTTTTTGTTTAGCTTGTGGAGGAAGATGTGCTTATTGGTTAATGTTGAAGCTTTATCATTGCCTTGCTCTGTAGCATTAGAGTTTTCGTATTATTTCCTCAGCGTAGTCCCTCGTTGCATAGCTTAGTGCTTTTCTAAGTGTTATTCTATCAGCATGGCACAAATTAAATTTCTGTCAGTATTGTAGCCTTTAAGTTAAAATGTTTTTAATTCCTGCCCAGTGAACAAATTGGGAGTGATATCACTACTTCTTTGGATGTTCAGTAGACTCACTCATGAGGATGGAGATGATGAAACTATTTTACTAAGAGTGTAATATGTGTTGACTTTTATTTCAAAAGAGTTCACCTTGACCAATTTGCAGAAACATTTGAGGTTGATATTAGCAACACTAAAAAGCTTCTCGAAGGTGATCATGGTGAAAGGATCCGTCAGAAAGGGATAACAGTGAGTAACCATCCTAGCATCATCAGTACATGAAGCATGTTTAGCTAAGCTTAAAATGTTTACTTACAAGTAATTAAGTTAGCTAAATATATATATATTTTATAATTGGACCAAGTTTGAAAATATAAATAACTTTTATAAGTTGTAAGAAAAGGTAACAGATCCAAAAATGTTCGTAAACAAAAAGTTTCTTTAGAAAGTCACTTGTATTTTCTCAAGCTTAGCCAAACATTTTATCATCTCTCTTTCCTTTCTTAGCGAACGATATACCACCTACATCATTCCGCCTTGATAATATTTTTTACCTCTAATATTCAAATATTTCAGGTTGTTGGGGAATCTGGACTCTTCACTCCGGATGATATTTCCTATGTACAAGAAGCTGGTGTTAAAGCTGTGAGTTCAGCTGGTTAAAAACTTTTTGGGAAATATACCCTTCCTTTTTATCTTTTGTCTTCTTAATTAAGAACACCTAACAATTATTTTAAGAGGACAACTGCAGTAGAAGAAAGAAAGAAAGAAACAACCAACTAGTCTTGCATTTGATTTCTCCGTGGTTGTGAACTGTTTGGGTAGGAATCCTTATTGTGGGAGATCATGGCTTTGGTAAATACAATTAAGAAACAACCAACTAGTCTTGCATTTGATTTCTCTCAATTAAATAGCAGTTTCTTGAAAACCAGACCGACTCAAATCGGTTCTACCAGCAAATGTGGGGAATGGGACCCAGAAATCAGTCCGATCACTGCTTAAGAACCATATCTCACAAACCCGGGACCTGGTCAACCAGCGTCCAGTTCAATGATTTAGCCTTTTGATCGCTGAATTCTTGATTGCATTTCTATATTTTTTAGGGGAAAAAAATAGAGAGAACAGTTTTTCGAGTGATTCAACCTTGACATATCATCCTCTATTATTATGAACACCATTAACATTATTGAACCTCAATATTTGTTATTGATATAATTTTTGAGCAGTTCAACAGCTGTTTATAACCAGTCAAATCATTTTTTATACACACTCTTTGGACCCACAATACTACCCAATTATCCATTACTCATTTCTATCTAATTATAATTTAAACCAAAACAACCCCCAAACATGCTTTTTTTTTTTTTTTTTTCTATACGATGAAATTAATAATATTTGTGTGTGTGTTTAATATTTTGACCTCTAATTAACTCCAGTTAAATCTTTTACCCTCAATTATTTACCATTTTTGGCAATGTTCGAGTCTGGTTTAAAACCATTTCTAAACGGTTCAGAGGAGGTTTCTTTGGTTAAGCCCGAGTAAGCGTATTCACATGCACATGTAGATTGCGGTTTTTTAAAGATTTATTTAGCACTAGAAGGACTCAGTTGCCATGATATTTCCACACACAACCACACAACAATGTCATGTCCTTTGAAGTTTATTTCAATATAAGAGGCTTTACCATCCCTGGCATAGAGTACAGCTCGGGTTCAGCTTTTATGGAAAACAGTATTTTTTGTTTATGCAAATTTGAACTGACAATATTTCTTTGCGATTTTTACAGGTGCTGGTTGGAGAGTCGATTGTTAAACAGAAAGACCCTGCCAAGGGAATAACTGAACTCTTTGGTAAAGATATCTCTTTATGATTCTGGAAAGTAGCTTGCCTTTGAATCAAACACTCCGCTCATTTCTGTTTGGATCACAGTTTTGTATTCAGAGTTACTACTTATGCATAATCTGTTATGATGTGCTGAATGGGTATTATTTAGTCTATATATTATGTACTTAATGAACTGTCGGAATCGATGAAATTGCTATGAACTTGATTAAGGAAAAGGTAGCCTTGTGAATTTTGTTGACTCCATAACGATCCTCAGTTTTATCCTTTCTGCATCTCTGTTTGAAATATTTTCCTGTTCGATGGAATTTAAGATTAAAACTGATGATGTAAGGTTTTGAAACCAATATTTCAGTTGTTTGAATAGTACCAAGGATTCTTTTTATTATCGTTTATTGTGTTTTTCTGTCCAAAATTCATAATTAAATGCATAAAAAGACAACAATTAAACTTTATAGGATCAAATTGAGGACACGAACTCAGATGGTCTTTACATTAAACTTTAATGGGCACATTTTGTCATTTTAGCAGTGAAATGAAAACTCGTTCGACGGATAGAATCAAGAGCAAAGTACTTGACTCGACCTAGTCTTCCACAAAAAATAATGAGAAACAGACCGTTTCAAGACGAACATGGTAAACTCAAAATATTCACAATTGTAAAATCATAATAATACTTCAAATTTATGAATGGATACTGTCTGTGCTTTCCGTTATGGTAGAGCCATTGTCTCTTACGTTCATGTTTGGTATGAACATATTAACTTCTTTTTATTATTTAATAATATTTAGTGCTAACTAATAATCCTACAAAGTGAATGCCTGATGATTTTACTTTGGATGCCATCTAATTAAATCCAGACTTCTTAACTAACTTTACATTCTTATGTCGAAGGACCTCTTTCTAAAATTTCCAGAAAAGGCTGAATTGAAGTGTTTATGTGCATCTTTTGAGTGTGAAATATTCACCCTCTCCGATAAGGGCAAGTAAATAAAGCACCTTATCTGTCGAACGAGTATAGTATTATGTACTTGTTTGAACTCTATTTTCTAAAAATTCATTTTCAGTAATACACGTTCCTAATAAAATAATTTCACACTTGAACTTAAAACTTTTTCTTATATTTTAACTACTTATTGTCCAAAAATCATTATTACGTAACTCCCTTTTCACAAAAAGGTCATTCAAAGGAAGTCTACATTACATATGGTTACTGAAAGTCATACGTCGTTGAGAGTGATTGATATGCACAACTATGGGGGTGCGACTGAAAATATATGCTTGGATTCTTTGGGATGTAAAGTAAGAGTTGAGGTATGAGGTTATGAGATTGAGCTATTGCACCGTATATAAAAAGAAAGAAGAGTTTACCTATGATATGAGTAAGGGATTGTTGATAAGTAAATTAGGAGGCAAATGCAATCTTAAGAAGATTGATGTTTGACATTATCAAATTTGAAGAACATTTTCAATGTAATTTACCATAAAGGGGTTCACCACAACTTGAAATGTTTTTTCCCCCTTCCTTCGGAAAGTAATTAGGAATTTTGGTGACGTCTAGGAATACCTAAAGCCTTGTTTCGTATATTTTGAAAAGCCGATAAAAATTTAAGTTAAATTCAATAATTAATTTTAGTCATACATTTTATGAAATACATAACTTTTGTCAATATATATATATATATATATATTTATTTATTTATTTAGATTTATAAAAAATCTTATTTTAATTACAGTAAACTGAGGCAATATTTTGAGGCTCAATCTATGTAAACGAGTCCCTCACAAATCAAGTAGGGCAACTTACAAAAATATCCTTAAAATTAGAGGTGTTTTGAAAAATCATATGAAAAGTTTTTTGGAAGTAAAAAATACCGCGTAAAATGAAAATGTAACACAATGTAACTTTTTTCCATAAAATTTGTCACTTTTTTAAAAAAGTGACACAAAAATTAAAAGGTGACGAAAACTTTAAAAAAAGTGACAGTGTCACTTTTGAAAGTTAAGTGTCACTTTTTTAATTAAAAAGTGACATACAATGTTATTTTTATTAAAAAGTAATGTTTGTCACTAAAAAAATGATAAAAATCAAGGAGGTGATTGAAAAAATTGACACACAATAAAAAAGGTTACAGCAATTTTAAAAAAATGTGACGAATTCAAAAAAAAGGTGACAATTCACATGAACGTAGTGACGGTTCTTAACATAATTAGCATTTTTAGGACAATCCACATGCTGATTATGTTAGGAAAATATAACATAGCATGTTACTTTTTATCTTATTAAATAAGTGACAAAAAAATTAAAAGGGGACAAAAAATTAAAAACGTGACAATGTCACTTTTGAAAGTTAAGTATCACTTTTTTAATTAAAAAGTGACATACAACGTTATTTTTATTAAAAATGTGATATTTGTTGCAAAAAAAATGATAGAAATCAAGAAGGTGATTGAAAAAATTGACACATAATAAAAAAAGTGACAGAAAAAAAAGTCGACGAATTCAAAAAAGTTACACAAATTAAAAAAAAAGTTACACATTAAAAAAAGAGAGAGAGATAGAATAGAAAAAGTGATAATCATTCAAGAAAAAAAATGAAGCAAAAACTTTAGAAAATTACACATCATTCATCCACTACGGCACCTCTTCTACTAACCTATCTATGATCAGCTATGGACAAACCTGACATTACTAGGATGAAAAAAGTGCTATAAGCAAAAGATGCCTTTTTAAACAAGAGAGGAAATCATATTTTTTGATTCTTCCATCGCGTCCACATCTAATAAACTATGAAGCCCAAAGAGTTGCAAGTCTAAAATCAAGAAAATTTAAGTAAGGGTGAGAAAAGGAAAAAAAATGAAAACTAGAGAAATTATACACTATTCACTCACAATCCAAAGAAAGTTTGCTAATGCATTCTTACGGAGAAAGAGCTCTAGACTCAGAATTGGACCAATAACTTCCATTTAATTAAACCATAACATGAATAAATCCTCCAACAGATACAAATAAAGTCAAATGAAAACCAACCCAAATCATTAACGTCTGAAACAACGTGTGAAAACTAAATATATTAATTTGCTAAATAAAAGTTTACCTTTTCACCATTTGTATTGTTTAATGTCCAGTTGAATTCTTTCTCTCTAATTTGTAGCAATGAATTTGATATATATTTCTGTGTGCGTGTGTTCAGGGATAAGAGATTTCTCTCTGTGCGTTTAGGGGTTTTGGGGTGTTGGAGGGTTTTATAACGTATTTATTAAGTTATTAAATATTTTAATTAATCAAAAGAGTATTAATCAAATTAGTTAATTTTTTAGGGTATTGAGCTTAATTTACCCAATCAAGTATAGACAGTCGGGCCAAACAAGAGGGCAACCCGATCCGACCCATTTACTCCACACCATTGCCAAAGAAAGAGCGGAAATAAATAAATAATAATAATAAAATAAAATAAATCGTAAACCCATCAAAGCGGCGCTGCCTTTGGTCCATCCGCCGCCTTAGCATAGAGAAAAACCAATCAACAAAACTTCCATCCTCTCCGCTCGCTCACTCCCTCCCTTATCCTCAAACCCTTCGGAAATCCCCTTTTTTCTTTATTTTTCTCCTCTGTTCCTCTGCGCAGACACACATCGATATATAATGTCTTGTGCTACCAAGCCTATAACAGTCGCAACAAATGGTTGCCTAATTTCAGTACCATCACTCTTCACCAAAGCAAAAGTTTCACATTCACACTCAAATCTCTCAATCCCACTAAAACCCGTAAAACTTCATCTATCTTTGTCCACTCTCAAAAAGAAAACACCCCATTTGAGGTTCTCTGTAATAGCTGCTTTGCAAGAAGAGAATAACCCGGTACTTGTTGAAGAACAAGAATTCCCAGTAAATTTTAACTGGGATAATCAAGAAACATCTGAAGGAGAAGTTAAAGTAGAAGAAGGGAGTGATGGCGTTGTAGAGGCTGTTGAGGATTATGAAGAGAATGATGATTATGTGGAGCCACCTGAGGAAGCTAAAATGTATGTGGGGAATTTACCTTTCCATGTGGACAGTGAGAAGCTCGCTCAGCTTTTTGAGCAGGCTGGCGTTGTTGAGATTTCTGAGGTGAGTTCTTGAATTTAATAGACTTTTTATTTTGATTTCTTTTGGTTAGAGAAGATTGTTTTAAATGTCTGGTTTTGATTGAAAAGTTTGAACTTCTTAGGGATTATTTAACGCTGGCTATATGTGACTTGCAGGTTATTTACGATAGGGTGACTGATCAGAGTCGAGGGTTCGGGTTTGTGACGATGAGTACTGTGGAAGAAGCAGAAAAAGCTGTAGAAATATTCCATCGTTATGTAAGTTTTGGACCTTCCTAAAATCATTTTCAAGAAAAAAAATGATTAATTGCACATTTAGATGGATATGTGTTGTTTTGGTTTGTTTTATGAATTATGGCCTTGTTTTGTGTTTTTGACGACATGTGCAAATTATGATGAAAAATTAGAAAATTCAATGAAAGAATACATGGCCTGGTTATCTGGCCAGTGGTTAATTCTCGAATTAGAGATTGGATGAGCTAAGAGTAATAGGAAAAGTTATAATATTTAAAGGATTATCTGAGTCGTGCCTAGATGTAAATAGGTTGGGTATCTTGACAGTTTGCTTTCGCAGCTGCATTTTTTTCTAGATTACTTCGGAAATGTAGTACAATAAGTGTGACAAATTAAGAAACTACCCTAGATTTTGCTTGGATGCTATAGCTTAGCTTTATTGCTCCTCAGTTTTTTAAGATTGTATAATATGGCATAATCACCACTGCCCACCACAGCCACCTCCATTGCCCGCATTGTATAAGATACCATTACTAAAGGAGGTGGCACAGAAGCAAGAATAATGCAATTGTGGAGGTGGTGGTTAGCCGTGGTAGTAGGTGCAGTACAGCATGTTTGGAAAATTTAGGTTTTCAAAGTTACTTCTGCTGAAATGTACTTTCTTTTTCTTAAATGATTTTTCAAAATTACCTTTTTTTTTCCCATAACAAAACTAGCATTTCATATAGTAACATTCTAGAAAAAGCAACTTTTAAATAAAACAAAGCATGCTTGGTGGTCAGGCACTGTAGTTATTATAGAATGATTTATTTCTTGAAATTTCAAAAGTTTTTTCTCCTCATATGGTGTATAATGATTTCCTCCAAAAAAAATTTCTGAACTCTAATTCAATCAAACGCTGCAAAATGCAGAAACATTTTGCTCAATATGTTATACAGCCTGCAGAAGTGGCTCCTTAAAATGTCTACTAGTAACTGAATTAAAAAGAAAAAATCAATTTATGTCACTATACCTCATTTAAATGTATACCCCTGGTCAGCAATGTATTTTTCCATTTTCCAAAGCTGGCACAGTGTTCCATCTTCCGATGGCTCCGTACAAATTTAATGCCCTACAGTTTGTTGTCTTTGTCTGGCATTAGTTGCTATTCGAAAAATACTAAAAATTTTCAATCTTCTTTTTGCAACTCCACTTCAACTTGATTTTGGTACACTCTATGCCATGTCATGCAAATGCTTCCATTGTAATTTAGATGGCTTAGATATTGTCATTGACAGGGTTTCTCAACTTTATGGTCTAACTTCCATGACTAACATTATTGGTGTATGATACCTCAAGATAAATTTTGAGTTTAGACTTATACGAAATGTTTAGCTATGTGGGTGGGGGGGGGGGGGGGGGGGGGGGGGGGGGGGGGGGGGGGAGTTTTTTATTTTTATTTTTTTAATTTGGTTGAAAAAATTCTGATTCAATCATATCTCACCACATCATATATTTCGACAAATTAGATAGTAAGGTAGCAAATGCTTTCAAAATAAGGAACTTTGCCCATGTCTGGTAATGATTTAAATCCATATTTTAATTTAAGTCAAAGTTAATAATCAATTTTAACAACATATTTAATAGTTCCCACAACTTTTCAACCAGATATTTTATCAGAATATACTAAAATTTTGATTTTAATTCTTACCAAACAGGAGCTTATTCTTTTCAACTTTGGCCAACAAATTAATTATTTATTCAAACTTACTTACCTACGCTTTAGATTTTTTAAGCCTAGCCAAACATGCGCTATACTCCGTTGTTTGATGACATGAAAGGAAAAAATCACAACCAAGTCGTCAACGGTCCATCCATATGATACAAGCATATCAATTTACTTTCTTATCTAATGATGGATCAAATAATTAAAATTTGCTTCGTGCTGAGGAAGATGTTAAATTATATTGTAATACAAAATTTACGTGGGCACCCCTACTTACTGGGGAAAATTGTTGGCAAGAGATATCAGATGTCTGCCAGCACTGGCAATGGTGGACGTGTGACAATAAGCCAATGTTTGGTGTAGATTAAAATCAAATTTTTAGTAATGTTTTTATGAAAGTTGATAAAATATGTGGTTAAAAAATTGTGGGTCTATGAAATGTGTGGTTAAAATTAATTATTCACTTTGATAGTGGATTTTTATCGACTTTTAACTTACACCATACAGGGGCTAAGGTTTCATGATATCACAGTAATTTGAAAATGAAAATATGTTTGCTTAAGTTGCTCCTGTTTGCTCTATTTGCAGCCGCCAGACTTTGAAGATTGCATACAATTAACTCTTTTTAATCAAAATTGCATCACTAAGATCAACTAATTACTTGAGTCATCTCCTGTCTGATCTGACGACAAGGTTTTAAGAGTAAAATGTTAATATATTATAAGAGTATTAATCTGTTCAAAATTCTTCCTTTTCTTGCCATCTGTTTTGTGCTTCCAAGTTTTGAACTTCTGCTATAGCTGATCAATTCACTTTTAAAATCTTACAGTTTAATTCGTCCTGTGATTCGAATATTGTGAAAAATAAATTATGCACTTGTTTACAACATGCAGAAAAGAATTTTCTAAATAGAGTTTACAATGCCATTTTTATTTAGTGTAGTATGTCTCAACTTTTCTATATTCTTTTTCCTGCAATATGTACTCAACATCGTTCTTCTTTCAATATACTAGGGTATGCCAAACGCCTTATTCAGGTTAATGCATCTTGGCCTACAAACCATGAACTTGAATGGATTTCTTGAAAATAATTTAGAAAAAATTCTCATTTGTCTTTGACCAAGTGCCTTCTACAGCCAAGTTTATGTAAGTTCATTTCATTTTTGGACAGGATCTAAATGGAAGGTTGTTGGTTGTTAACAAGGCAGCCCCGAAAGGGTCCCGACCGGAACGTCCACCTCAAGTGTTTGAACCTTCTTACAGAATTTATGTTGGTAACCTGCCATGGAGCATTCATGATGGACGACTAGAACAGGTTTTCAGTGAGCATGGTAAAGTAGTAAATGCTCGCATAGTTTATGACAGGGAGAGCGGTCGATCTCGTGGTTTTGGCTTCGTAACAATGTCAAGCGAAGCTGAAATGAATGATGCCATTGCTAACCTCGACGGACAGGTAATGCTCTGTGGTTTATCTTGGAAAATACAATTCTTGAAATATTTATTTATTAGATGAGGGTTGAAAAGGCCTATATGATCATTTATAGATTGGAAAGTAAGTTTTTAGATTAGAATACACCATTTTTTATACATTAATGAAGGAAACTATTGTTTGTTCATGCTTAAAAAGACTAAATCTGGTAGCGAGGAAGTGCCATGAGCCAAGACTCAACACAAACCAATAAAATTATTTGAAAGAGTATAAAATTAAAAAAATTATATTTACAGTAAACCTTAAGTGTATGAAAAATGATAATAAAAATCCAATTTCAGTAATTTGCAATTGAAAATGTACAATGGATGGCAAAAACTAGCAAATAACATTTTAACAAAAGTAGTAATCACTTCACAAGAATACTAATCTAGAACTGGACCAAGTTATAAATTATTTAAGAATTCTGTTTGCTTTCAACTTTATAAGGAGATCAAACTCAGAAGAAAGATAAGGAAAAATTCAAAGAAACAAGAAAAATATAATAGAAAGAAAGAATAAAGTTTCATTTAAAGTCTCCTGTCAGGCTTACAGTATGAGGCGTGGATCTTAGTATTTGCAAGGTGCAAGCCTTGAAAAAGGGCACCCAAAGCGTACACTTTGAAGCTCCTAGTGAATGTCTTATCTGAGTGAACCTCAAGACATAAAGCTTTTGAAAACACTCGTTTTATATAGTTTAGAATTGGGTTGGAATCTTCATAATAACATCGTTTGCTTGTTGCAGAGTTTGGACGGGAGAGTGATCAGAGTAAATGTTGCCGAAGAAAGAGCCAGGCGCAACTCCTTTTGACTTGTTTAAGGGTAGTTCATAGATATTCAAAGTGAGGATTGTAGCAATCATATTTTAGTGAGCTGTCAAATGGTAAAATTTTCTGTTGGTCATCAAGTCCATTTTGCGCTGCTGCTGTTAATTTCGTTGCTTAAGCTGGTAACATATGGAGATTATGATTTGATTCTTGGGAAAATCGGGAGATTTATGGCTTCTTTTCCAGTCTGAAGTTAGTTTTCCTATTCTGAAGTAAACACCATCCTCTGTCTATGCTAAGAAAAACGCTGGAAATCAATATTCTGATTTTTATTGAACTTCTCCTGCATATATATATTTGTTGTTGCAGACTTGCAGTTCTATCATTCAGATTTCTACTGTTAACAATGTTTATTGGAGTGCAGGTCTCCATAAATATTGAAATGCAAGAAACTGTAGACTATTTCAATCCTTGGGTCTTCTTTTTGGTGCCTTGTCGACTTTCTTTAGTCATTTCTTCTTGTTATTTGTTTTTAGGGTTAAGGATTGTTATAAATTCATAGTTAAGAATCTTGTGTTCATCTAGTATGTCCGTCTGTTTCTTGTAAATATTATGCCAACGGTAGGTTGCTACATATGTGTGATTCTTAACAAAACCAGAGTTTCCTCTCTCTATCTCTATGCTGGAAGAACAAACCATGAAATGTGCTCGCACAAGATTTGTGCATGTATATTTTATAGAATAGAGTAAGTGCAACTGAAGGACTTTGGTTGATACTAAGAAAAAAACGCAATAGATTGTCATATAAGTGAAAGGGTTGCTTGTTTCACCCGCATGAAGGCTCTTCTGCAAATCCTTTGATTACATGCAACTCCGTATCTGCTTTTGTTAACCATAGATATACCGTTAATGATCTTGAAGTTTGGAAAATATGGAAAGAAACTTGCCTGCTTTAGATTCCTTAAAAGACTATTCCATCTATCGAACCCCAAAGAGAACACCCTAAGCTTACTACTCAAATCTCTTTTGACTCTACCATGCAGGCGTCTGATAACTATGAACAGTTGAAATATTTTATTTTTGAGAGGAGTCATTTGCAAGCAATGTACGGTCGACGTTATAAGCAATGAAGATTTACAAGAAACTGAAGTAGAAGGCATATGAACAACAAGAACCTTATTACGTGTTCAGAACCACAGGATATCTACCCAACTAATACCACAACCCTTAACCTCGTAATTGAGCATCTCGACTTGTCAATGGTACATAACGAACAGAAGTCTCACTTCGAATGCTTAGTGAACCATCTGGGTTCTTATCCACAACCTGCAAGTCCTGGAAAATGTTCCCCACAGGGATCACCAACCTGCCGCCAGGCTTCAACTGATCGATCAGTGCTTGGGGAATTTCTGGTGCCGCAGCTCCTACATGAATAGCATCATATGGTGCATACTCAGGCCAGCCCAGCCTGCCATCTGTCAACATGCAAAATGATATAACCAATAAATGTAGGGTGACGCATAAAATAAGTCGGCATTGCAACTATTATTTCAAGATTCATCAGGACAATTATACGCACTACAATTAAGAATGCAGCATTTCACATCAATAACCTTGAAGATATCTCACTCCATGGCAGGGTGAACGAGCTAGAACTGAATGGAAGTATCTAAATAAGCATCAGGACAACTCCGTGTAGGCCCAGGGAATGAGGTAATTTTATATTTTCAGTCCAGCATAATCAACAGTACAGGAGATGCTAGCCTCCTAAATTGTGTTGTCATTAAAAATGTAATCAGAATTGATTTAAGCTGTTGCTAGTGTAGGAAGCTGATGTCCCTGGTATTATCTATCGCTCTGTGCCAACATGGAATTGCCACATATTTGGCTAAGATGAGAACTAGGAATAAAGCACATGTTTTGCTAAGCTGAAAACATGAACCAATTTCCTCTTCAAACCAGATTTAACACAAAAATTAATCAAATAATTTAATCACCACACTGAACATAAAATCTTATTTCAAAATGAGGCACTAAATCTTGTAAGGGTAGCCATGGTCCTGTTCGATCTTGTACACTAAATTGTAAATGACTATTATACCATCCACTCTAGTCAAATTAAGTCATCAAACACGCATTGATGCACAAGATTAATTATTTTAATAAACCTATAAAAAGGATATAAACATCTAATCACATTAGTTAGTAGCATAGAGCATGTTAGGCTAAGCGTGAGAAAAGTTTTAACTTATACGTTACTCCTTTTTAAGGAATTTACTATTTTGAAAAGTAACTCTTACCTTCAAAATATAATTAAACCTTTTAAACTAGGTCAAACATGCTCATAGTGTTACTGGTTCACTTCTTTGGCCATAAACCTGAGCGCTATAGCAACAGGGAAAACCAAAATGACAAATATGAAGGCAGAATGAAATTAACTTATCATATAATCAACAAAATCACCTAAAATTCTTCTCAATACATTCACTTGCTTCTTGAAATATTTATTAAGTTACTGTAATATGGTTTCCACAACATAAGCAATGCAAGCGTACAACAATTATGTATCACCATTCCAGTAACCATTCCGAAAATTCTTGTGATTGAAGTATCTTAATTTGTTTATGAAATTTACATGGTGAAGAAATATGCAGCAATGAATAAACAGCCACTGTCATGTCTGTTGACCGCAAGAACATCCTCACTTTGCAAGCTAAAATGGAACCACCCTCATAACATTAGAAATAAATAGAAAACCAGCTGGCAAAATGAACGTGCTCTTTTTGCAAACTAAATGAAGATAGTTATCAATATGTTCAATATAGAAAAAAAGCAGCTAGGCAATTCAAAACATACCACCAGTATGCATCACAAGGGATCCTTCTTTCAATAGTGAAGCTGCTGCACTCTTCTGGATATTTTGAAGAGATGATTCAACCAACTCAGGAATATGTTCCACCCCAACTGCACGACCTTGTGGTCCAACCATGATAGCAAAGCATGCAGTCAAATACCCCGTTCCTACAAAAAGAGGAATCTCATATAATTCATAAATCTACTTTT